AGTCAGTCCAAGGCAACAGGCAGTCCAAGGCACCAGGCAGTCCAAGGCAACAGGCAGTCCAAGGCAACAGTCAGTCCAAGGCACCAGGCAGTCCAAGGCATCAGGCAGTCCAAGGCACCAGGCAGTTCAAGGCACCAGGCAGTCCAAGGCAACAGTCAGTCCAAGGCACCAGGCAGTCCAAGGCACCAGGCAGTCCAAGGCACCAGGCAGTCCAAGGCAACAGGCAGTCCAAGGCAACAGTCAGTCCAAGGCACCAGGCAGTCCAAGGCACCAGGCAGTCCAAGGCACCAGGCAGTCCAAGGCACCAGGCAGTCCAAGGCACCAGTCAGTCCAAGGCACCAGGCAGTCCAAGGCACCAGGCAGTCCAAGGCACCAGGCAGTCCAAGGCACCAGGCAGTCCAAGGCACCAGGCAGTTCAAGGCACCAGGCAGTCCAAGGCAACAGGCAGTCCAAGGCAACAGTCAGTCCAAGGCAACAGGCAGTCCAAGGCACCAGGCAGTCCAAGGCAACAGGCAGTCCAAGGCAACAGTCAGTCCAAGGCACCAGGCAGTCCAAGGCACCAGGCAGTCCAAGGCACCAGGCAGTTCAAGGCACCAGGCAGTCCAAGGCAACAGCCAGTCCAAGGCACCAGGCAGTCCAAGGCACCAGGCAGTCCAAGGCACCAGGCAGTCCAAGGCACCAGGCTGTCCAAGGCACCACTCAGTCCAAGGCACCAGTCAGTCCAAGGCAACAGGCAGTCCAAGGCACCAGGCAGTCCAAGGCAACAGGCAGTCCAAGGCAACAGTCAGTCCAAGGCACCAGGCAGTCCAAGGCACCAGGCAGTCCAAGGCACCAGGCAGTTCAAGGCACCAGGCAGTCCAAGGCAACAGTCAGTCCAAGGCACCAGGCAGTCCAAGGCACCAGGCAGTCCAAGGCACCAGGCAGTCCAAGGCAACAGGCAGTCCAAGGCACCAGGCAGTCCAAGGCACCAGGCAGTCCAAGGCACCAGTCAGTCCAAGGCACCAGGCAGTCCAAGGCAACAGTCAGTCCAAGGCACCAGGCAGTCCAAGGCACCAGGCAGTCCAAGGCACCAGGTAGTCCAAGGCACCAGTCAGTCCAAGGCACCAGGCAGTCCAAGGCACCAGGCAGTCCAAGGCACCAGGCAGTCCAAGGCACCAGGCAGTCCAAGGCACCAGGCAGTTCAAGGCACCAGGCAGTCCAAGGCAACAGTCAGTCCAAGGCACCAGGCAGTCCAAGGCACCAGGCAGTCCAAGGCAACAGGCAGTCCAAGGCAACAGTCAGTCCAAGGCACCAGGCACTCCAAGGCACCAGGCAGTCCAAGGCACCAGGCAGTTCAAGGCACCAGGCAGTCCAAGGCAACAGTCAGTCCAAGGCACCAGGCTGTCCAAGGCACCAGGCAGTCCAAGGCAACAGGCAGTCCAAGGCACCAGGCAGTCCAAGGCACCAGGCAGTCCAAGGCGCCAGGCAGTCCAAGGCAACAGGCAGTCCAAGGCAACAGTCAGTCCAAGGCACCAGGCAGTCCAAGGCACCAGGCAGTCCAAGGCAACAGGCAGTCCAAGGCAACAGTCAGTCCAAGGCACCAGGCAGTCCAAGGCACCAGGCAGTCCAAGGCACCAGGCAGTTCAAGGCACCAGGCAGTCCAAGGCAACAGTCAGTCCAAGGCACCAGGCAGTCCAAGGCACCAGGCAATCCAAGGCAACAGGCAATCCAAGGCACCAGGCAGTCCAAGGCACCAGGCAGTCCAAGGCACCAGGCAGTCCAAGGCACCAGGCAGTCCAAGGCACCAGTCAGTCCAAGGCACCAGTCAGTCCAAGGCAACAGGCAGTCCAAGGCACCAGGCAGTCCAAGGCAACAGGCAGTCCAAGGCAACAGTCAGTCCAAGGCACCAGGCAGTCCAAGGCACCAGGCAGTCCAAGGCACCAGGCAGTTCAAGGCACCAGGCAGTCCAAGGCAACAGTCAGTCCAAGGCACCAGGCAGTCCAAGGCACCAGGCAGTCCAAGGCACCAGGCAGTCCAAGGCAACAGGCAGTCCAAGGCAACAGTCAGTCCAAGGCACCAAGCAGTCCAAGGCACCAGGCAGTCCAAGGCACCAGGCAGTCCAAGGCACCAGGCAGTCCAAGGCACCAGTCAGTCCAAGGCACCAGGCAGTCCAAGGCACCAGGCAGTCCAAGGCACCAGGCAGTCCAAGGCACCAGGCAGTCCAAGGCACCAGGCAGTCCAAGGCACCAGGCAGTCCAAGGCACCAGGCAGTCCAAGGCACCAGGCAGTCCAAGGCACCAGGCAGTCCAAGGCACCAGGCAGTCCAAGGCACCAGGCAGTTCAAGGCACCAGGCAGTCCAAGGCAACAGTCAGTCCAAGGCACCAGGCAGTCCAAGGCACCAGGCAGTCCAAGGCACCAGGCAGTTCAAGGCACCAGGCAGTCCAAGGCACCAGGCAGTCCAAGGCAACAGGCAGTCCAAGGCAACAGTCAGTCCAAGGCACCAGGCAGTCCAAGGCAACAGGCAGTCCAAGGCACCAGGCAGTCCAAGGCACCAGGCAGTCCAAGGCACCAGGCAGTCCAAGGCACCAGGCAGTCCAAGGCACCAGGCAGTCCAAGGCACCAGGCAGTCCAAGGCACCAGGCAGTCCAAGGCACCAGGCAGTCCAAGGCACCAGGCAGTCCAAGGCACCAGGCAGTCCAAGGCACCAGGCAGTTCAAGGCACCAGGCAGTCCAAGGCAACAGTCAGTCCAAGGCACCAGGCAGTCCAAGGCACCAGGCAGTCCAAGGCAACAGGCAGTCCAAGGCAACAGTCAGTCCAAGGCACCAGGCAGTCCAAGGCACCAGGCAGTCCAAGGCACCAGGCAGTCCAAGGCAACAGGCAGTCCAAGGCAACAGTTAGTCCAAGGCACCAGGCAGTCCAAGGCACCAGGCAGTCCAAGGCACCAGGCAGTCCAAGGCACCAGTCAGTCCAAGGCAACAGGCAGTCCAAGGCACCAGGCAGTCCAAGGCAACAGGCAGTCCAAGGCAACAGTCAGTCCAAGGCACCAGGCAGTCCAAGGCACCAGGCAGTCCAAGGCACCAGGCAGTTCAAGGCACCAGGCAGTCCAAGGCAACAGTCAGTCCAAGGCACCAGGCAGTCCAAGGCACCAGGCAGTCCAAGGCACCAGGCAGTCCAAGGCAACAGGCAGTCCAAGGCAACAGTCAGTCCAAGGCACCAAGCAGTCCAAGGCACCAGGCAGTCCAAGGCACCAGGCAGTCCAAGGCACCAGGCAGTCCAAGGCACCAGTCAGTCCAAGGCACCAGGCAGTCCAAGGCACCAGGCAGTCCAAGGCACCAGGCAGTCCAAGGCACCAGGCAGTCCAAGGCACCAGGCAGTCCAAGGCACCAGGCAGTCCAAGGCACCAGGCAGTCCAAGGCACCAGGCAGTCCAAGGCACCAGGCAGTCCAAGGCACCAGGCAGTTCAAGGCACCAGGCAGTCCAAGGCAACAGTCAGTCCAAGGCACCAGGCAGTCCAAGGCACCAGGCAGTCCAAGGCACCAGGCAGTTCAAGGCACCAGGCAGTCCAAGGCACCAGGCAGTCCAAGGCAACAGGCAGTCCAAGGCAACAGTCAGTCCAAGGCACCAGGCAGTCCAAGGCAACAGGCAGTCCAAGGCACCAGGCAGTCCAAGGCACCAGGCAGTCCAAGGCACCAGGCAGTCCAAGGCACCAGGCAGTCCAAGGCACCAGGCAGTCCAAGGCACCAGGCAGTCCAAGGCACCAGGCAGTCCAAGGCACCAGGCAGTCCAAGGCACCAGGCAGTCCAAGGCACCAGGCAGTCCAAGGCACCAGGCAGTTCAAGGCACCAGGCAGTCCAAGGCAACAGTCAGTCCAAGGCACCAGGCAGTCCAAGGCACCAGGCAGTCCAAGGCAACAGGCAGTCCAAGGCAACAGTCAGTCCAAGGCACCAGGCAGTCCAAGGCACCAGGCAGTCCAAGGCACCAGGCAGTCCAAGGCACCAGGCAGTCCAAGGCACCAGGCAGTCCAAGGCACCAGGCAGTCCAAGGCACCAGGCAGTCCAAGGCACCAGGCAGTCCAAGGCACCAGGCAGTTCAAGGCACCACGCAGTCCAAGGCAACAGTCAGTCCAAGGCACCAGGCAGTTCAAGGCACCAGGGAGTCCAAGGCAACAGTCAGTCCAAGGCACCAGGCAGTCCAAGGCACCAGGCAGTCCAAGGCAACAGGCAGTCCAAGGCAACAGTCAGTCCAAGGCACCAGGCAGTCCAAGGTACCAGGCAGTCCAAGGCACCAGGCAGTCCAAGGCACCAGGCAGTCCAAGGCACCAGGCAGTCCAAGGCACCAGGCAGTCCAAGGCACCAGGCAGTCCAAGGCACCAGGCAGTCCAAGGCACCAGGCAGTCCAAGGCACCAGGCAGTTCAAGGCACCAGGCTGTCCAAGGCAACAGTCAGTCCAAGGCACCAGGCAGTCCAAGGCACCAGGCAGTCCAAGGCAATAGGCAGTCCAAGGCAACAGTCAGTCCAAGGCACCAGGCAGTCCAAGGCACCAGGTAGTCCAAGGCACCAGGCAGTCCAAGGCACCAGGTAGTCCAAGGCACCAGGCAGTCCAAGGCACCAGGCAGTCCAAGGCACCAGGCAGTCCAAGGCACCAGGCAGTCCAAGGCACCAGGCAGTCCAAGGCACCAGGCAGTTCAAGGCACCAGGCAGTCCAAGGCAACAGTCAGTCCAAGGCACCAGGCAGTCCAAGGCACCAGGCAGTCCAAGGCAACAGGCAGTCCAAGGCAACAGTCAGTCCAAGGCACCAGGCAGTCCAAGGCACCAGGCAGTCCAAGGCACCAGGCAGTCCAAGGCACCAGGCAGTCCAAGGCACCAGGCAGTCCAAGGCACCAGGCAGTCCAAGGCACCAGGCAGTCCAAGGCACCAGGCAGTCCAAGGCACCAGGCAGTTCAAGGCACCACGCAGTCCAAGGCAACAGTCAGTCCAAGGCACCAGGCAGTTCAAGGCACCAGGCAGTCCAAGGCAACAGTCAGTCCAAGGCACCAGGCAGTCCAAGGCACCAGGCAGTCCAAGGCAACAGGCAGTCCAAGGCAACAGTCAGTCCAAGGCACCAGGCAGTCCAAGGCACCAGGCAGTCCAAGGCACCAGGCAGTCCAAGGCACCAGGCAGTCCAAGGCACCAGGCAGTCCAAGGCACCAGGCAGTCCAAGGCACCAGGCAGTCCAAGGCACCAGGCAGTCCAAGGCACCAGGCAGTCCAAGGCACCAGGCAGTCCAAGGCACCAGGCAGTTCAAGGCACCAGGCAGTCCAAGGCAACAGTCAGTCCAAGGCACCAGGCAGTCCAAGGCACCAGGCAGTCCAAGGCAACAGTCAGTCCAAGGCACCAGGCAGAGCGGGTGGAGTGGAGACAGTGGTCTCACCTCTCCAGCAATGAAAATGTCTGGTTCAGTGTAGTGCCAGAGGCCAACGTACCTGGGGTGGGGAAGGGTGGGGAAGGGTGGGGAAGGGTGGGGCACAGTGTGGTGGGGTGGGATGCGGTGGGGTGGGGTGGAACAGGGTGGAATCAGGTGAGTTCCTAAGATGCCTCTCTTGCAATGAACATGTCTGGTTCGATGTAGTGCCAGAGCCCCAGTACCTGGGGTGGGACAGGGTGGGGCAGGGTCAGATGGGGTGGGACAGGGTGGGGCAGGGTCAGATGGGGTGGGACAGGGTGGGCCAGGGTCAGATGGGGTGGGACAGGGTGGGGCAGGGTGGGGCGGAATGGGGTGGGTGGGGAAAGGAGGGGAAGGATGGTACGGGGTGGAGCAGGGTCGGGATGGGTAGTTTGTGAAGATGCCACAAACCGAAACAGGACTTTTTTCAGGAATGAAAGCGACTCCAGCATCGAAACCGCATTTGTAACTACTTCTCAAGCTCACTTGATTATAGGCACGTGAAATGAGTGTGTTTTTGAGACGTCTCAGTAACTACTTTTCAAGCTCACTTCATTATAGGCATTTCTCTATGGTTGGAGGGCTGAAGGCGGCAGAAGAGGGCAAAGAGGTAAAAGGCAAAACAGTTGGCAGATAGCACACTCACCTTCACTAGAAGCACATTTCTTCCCAATACTATTATAAGCACTTCCTCTCACTTACTTCATAATGAGCACTTCTGAGGCTGGTGCACCCACGGCGACAAAGAGGGCGAGGAGGTACCCAGGGAGGGTGCGGTCAAAGGTGAACAAGTTGGCATGCACCAGTCGTGATTAGACTTACTTCACTCCCCACCCCATACTCACTTCATAATGAGCACTTTTGAGGCAGGTGCATTTTGAGGCGCCTCAAAATACACCTCAATGCACGCGGATTTCATACGGAGAGGATTATTACAGCTTGGAAATGTTCGTGTAACTTGCAAAAGTTACTGGTGCGCGCGCGGTTACATCAACGAATTGGTTGACGAAGATCTTCTCGAGGGCTGACTTTGCACCCTGGGTGTACCCCATTTGCTTAGCTGGCCGAGTGACTTGTCACTCTGGGTAGTTGGTTGTACATTTGTAGATCTCGAGGGCAGTTGCTAGCTACTTAGCCTGCTTCTGTCCGAACTCTTTCTTTTGTGGATCTGGTAGCTTACTGATGAAGGCTTAGCGGGTTGGAGACCCGTGAGCCGAAACTAGTTTGAGCTGTAAAGATCCTCGTTAGTAAAGGGTTTCTAAGGTTTCTACTGATCGTTTTTCCAGGAAAGAATTTCTGTTTCGTTTCCTTTTGTTGCTTTAAGCGTCACTCTTTAGAATTGCTGCTCTTCCACTATGAGCGAAGACCCTTTGGACATTGAATGGTTTCCAACTGAAGAGGAAGACGCCGATTCTGAAGAACGCAACTCGTTGAAAAGGCAGCGTAGGAGTGGAAACAAGTCGCGTTCTGCTCGAAAGGCTTCCGGGCAGCGGCAGACCGGCAACAAATTTCCGCAACTGGCGTTAACCTACGAACCGATTCTACGAAGTGAGCAACCACGTGATCCTCCCGCTGGACCGTCGCGAATTCGTCCTACCGTCATGGCGGAACCCACTGACGTGACCCCCATCCAAGAACCTTTCAAGGGATGGCTTGCGACTGCAGTGAAGGATTTCCGGGACGATTTCAGGACTCTGCTTAAGGCGAAATCTAAGCTGAAGAAGATGAAGGAACTCGACGCTGAAGGAACGATTCTGCACAGCATCCGTACCAAAGCGGTCGATTTCCAGACGAAGATTGACTCTGTCAAGGAGAAATCCAAGGCGTCCGTTGCTGAGATCCATTTGGCGAATCAGAAGCGGATTCAGGCAGAGTTTATCGCCTCGAAAGCACTGGAGGTTGAGGAGATCGCGAAGATGGCTAACTCGCGTGTCACGACTCTGGCTACAAGGATGGAGGATTACATACAGGGGCTGAACGCGGATCCTGATTTGGTGGTGTCTGACGCTGCCAAGGAGAAATTTCGTTTACTCAAGGGACGCTGCATCGAGAAAGCCCAATCCGACATCGCTGCTGCCAAGGATGATCTTACCATCCGGGAGTTGGAAAGACAGCGTAAGATAGCTGCTGAGGATTTGAAGAAAGCTGCTGCGTCTGAGGAGGTGCAAGAGATGGAGTTAGAACCTGCGTTAGAGGAGATTCTCGCGAAGCAGGTTAAGAAGATTGAAGACAAACTTCGCAAGGAAATCACTGCGAAGGTTGAGGCCAGTCTTACGAAGAAGCTGCAGAAGAATCTCTCTCTTAAGGAGCAAGACCCTGCGCAGGCCGCTGCTGCTAATCCGAAGCAGAGGAGTACGGCGGGAAAGCAGAAAAGTCAGGAGAATGGCAACGCTGCACCTGCTGGATCCAAGCCGAGGAGGAAGCGTGGTGGGAAGAAAAAGAATCAGAAGCAGAATTCCAGCACCGACAAAGGCAAGCAGGCGGGAGGCCAAGTCAAATCTGATACGGCCAAGGGACCAAAAAACGGCGGAGGCGGCCCCGAAAAAGGGCCGCGCAAGAAGAACTAACCAGCCATGAGCTAGCCCTCCGTTGGTTTGGACGGCTGACGCCTCGACAAGCTGCGTTGCGCGTCCGTAACCGCGGAGTTCACAACCTCAGCGCCAAAATCTTATCTTCGGATGAGAAGACAGCGTTGGGGTTGGGATTGAAGTTCATCCCCACGCCCACCGTTTCCCTTTCGGCCGGAATTGAGCTTGATCAGCTTTTCCGGCAGATCTCGTTACATTTTTTCTTCAAGGATGCGGACGGTCCACCTAGGGATTCACGGTTTCGTGTGCGTAACCCGACGTGGCTGCCCGATCGGATGGTGATTCCGGAGCAGGTCTTCAAGGACTCGTCCTCTGACTTGTCCGTCTTGTTGAAGGCATCTCGGCCTGACCGACGTCGGAATCTTTCAGCTGGCGTTAGGAAGGCTTTGCGCACCATCGCTGCGGATCGAGACGTGGTGATTAAACCGGCTGACAAGAATGTTGGGATTACGGTGATGGACTGGGGACATTACATTCGGTTGTGCATGGAGCACCTAGGTGACAGCACGACTTACTCCCTGGTCTCTCACAATCCTACCGCTGAAGTCTACCGGAAGCTGCGTGAACTGCATAGCGTTTGAGGCCCTGCTTTTCCCGAAACTTTGTGGAAGTACTTTTTCAATCAGCCGCCTGGAGGATGGAAACCCGCGGCTTTCTACATTTTGCCGAAGCTGCATAAGAAGGATCTCGTGGGACGCCCGATCGCCGCCTCACACTCATGGGTGACTTCTAACGTTAGCCGTTGGCTCGATGCTGAATTACGACCGTGGGTTTTGCAGCAGCAGACATACCTCCGCGATTCCCTCTCGCTACTCTTGAAGCTGGAAGAGACCGCCTTCCCGAAAGGGATCTTCTTAGCCACCTACGACGTTACTGCTCTCTACCCCAGTATCCCATTAAGGAGAGGTATCGACGCAGTGAGTAGCATTCTTCAGAGTGGGAAATATCATAATCACCTCCCGGTCATTGCCCTGCTGGAGTGGGTGATGATGAACTCGATTGTTGAGTTCGACGGCCAATTGTACCTGCAGCGACAAGGGACTGCTATGGGAACTCCTGCAGCAGTATGTTTCGCGGTGCTGTTCATGAGCCGTTTGGACGAGGTGTTGAGACGCAGGTGGTCCGGGACGCAGCCGTTGTGCCACGTGAGATACATCGACGATGGCTTCATTGTTTGGCCAGGTTCTCGGAACGAGTTGGAGTGTTACCTCAGTACCTTCAACGAATTGGATCCCAACATCAAGTTGACGTGGCACATCTCGGACTCCTCGGCAGACTTTCTTGACATGGTCATCTTCAAAGGACCACGTTTTGCCGAGAAGGGTAACTTGGATCTGAAGACTTTTCAGAAACCCATGAACAGTTACTTGTACCTGCCGTTTTCTTCATACCACCCGCGACACTGCAAGGTCAGCTTCATCCGTGCAGAACTGAAGCGTTACTTACTACGTTCGACCTCTGCCAAAGCTTTCCTAGCCTCTAAGCACGCGTTTTTCCAACGGCTTAGAAGTCGCGGATATCCTGGAGACTTCCTTCTACCCATCTTTCGGAGTGTGTTTTTTCGAAACCGCCCTCTCCTTTTGGAGACCACTGCTGCGCGCCAAGCTCTCAAGCTCAACTCTCTCCCCCAACGCGGACCCCTAGTCTTGAAGACTCTGTTCACCCCGGTGACAGCCCGTCTCAGGCTGGGGGTCCTTTTGAGGCGCCTCAACATACACCTCAATGCACGCGGATTTCATACGGAGAGGATTATTACAGCTTGGAAATGTTCGTGTAACTTGCAAAAGTTACTGGTGCGCGCGCGGTTACATCAACGAATTGGTTGACGAAGATCTTCTCGAGGGCTGCCTTTGCACCCTGGGTGTACCCCATTTGCTTAGCTGGCCGAGTGACTTGTCACTCTGGGTAGTTGGTTGTACATTTGTAGATCTCGAGGGCAGTTGCTAGCTACTTAGCCTGCTTCTGTCCGAACTCTTTCTTTTGTGGATCTGGTAGCTTACTGATGAAGGCTTAGCGGGTTGGAGACCCGTGAGCCGAAACTAGTTTGAGCTGTAAAGATTCTCGTTAGTAAAGGGTTTCTAAGGTTTCTACTGATCGTTTTTCCAGGAAAGAATTTCTGTTTCGTTTCCTTTTGTTGCTTTAAGCGTCACTCTTTAGAATTGCTGCTCTTCCACTATGAGCGAAGACCCATGCACCAGTCGTGATTAGACTTACTTCACTCCCCACCCCATACTCACTTCATAATGAGCACTTCTGAGGCTGGTGCACCCACGGCGACAAAGAGGGCGAGGAGGTACCCAGGGAGGGTGCGGTCAAAGGTGAACAAGTTGGCATGCACCAGTCGTGATTAGACTTACTTCACTCCCCACCCCATACTCACTTCATAATGAGCACTTCTGAGGCTGGTGCACCCACGGCGACAAAGAGGGCGAGGAGGTACCCAGGGAGGGTGCGATCAAAGGTGAACAAGTTGGCATGCACCAGTCGTGATTAGACTTACTTCACTCCCCACCCCATACTCACTTCATAATGAGCACTTCTGAGGCTGGTGCACCCACGGCGACAAAGAGGGCGAGGAGGTACCCAGGGAGGGTGCGATCAAAGGCAAACCAGTTGGCATGGGCGCACAGGGCGAGAATAGCGAAGATGCCTGTAGAGGGGATGTCATGAGACTCAAAGAGCTGGGAGCTGAAGTGGAGGAGGCTGATGAGCACGCTGAGAGGTGGGGAGAGGAGGGGAAGGGGGATATGGGAGGGAAAGGGAGCAGGGAAGGAGTGATAAGCAGAGTGAATGGACAGCAAAATGACTGTAGAGGGGATGGCATTAGCCTTGAAGATCTGGGAGTTGAAGTGGAGGAGGCTGATGAGCACGCTGAGAGGTGGGGAGGGGAGGAGAAGAGGGATATGGGAGGGAAAGGGAGCAGGGAAGGAGTGATAAGCAGAGTGAATGGACAGCAAAATGACTGTAGAGGGGATGGCATTAGCCTTGAAGATCTGGGAGTTGAAGTGGAGGAGGCTGATGAGCACGCTGAGAGGTGGGGAGGGGAGGAGAAGGGGGATATGGGAGGGAAAGGGAGCAGGGAAGGAGTGATAAGCAGAGTGAATGGACAGCAAGATGACTGTAGAGGGGATGGCATTAGCCTTGAAGATCTGGGAGTTGAAGTGGAGGAGGCTGATGAGCACGCTGAGAGGTGGGGAGGGGAGGAGAAGGGGGATATGGGAGGGAAAGGGAGCAGGGAAAACGCGATAAACATGGGGAATGCGAGTGCAATGAATGTAGAGGGGATGGCATGAGTCTGTGAGGCTGAAGTGGAGGAGGCTGATGAGTGCCCTGGGAGGGATGAAAGGTGGCTAGGGGGGAAATGGGTGGGGAAGGGAGTGGGGAAGATGTGACAGGCGCACTGAAAGACAGAGTCAATGGTTGTGGATGACATGGCATGGGCCTCAAATAGCTTCGAGCTGATGTGGAGGAGGCTGATGAGTATGCTGGGAGGAGGGGGAGCGGCGGGGTGGAGTGCAGGGTTGGTTGGAGAGAGGAGATGTGGGGAAGAGGGATATGGGAGGGAAAGGGAGTGGGGAATTCGTGATACACGCAGTGACAGGGTAGCAAAGATGCTTGTAGAGGGGATGGCATGCGCTTCGAAGAGCTGGGAGCTGAAGTGGAGGAGGCTGATGAGCTCAGGGGTAGGGGGGTTGAGGAGGAAGAAGCGGGATTAGAGGGGATGGCAGTATGACGGTAGAACATAACTTTTTGACTCGAAGGAAGGAAACAAAAAAAAAAACAAGCAAACAAACAAACAAGCAAAGATCTTACCCCATGCAGCTGAGCAGGCGCAACCAGGAGCCCCTGGGAGGGGAGGAGGCGAGGGAGAACCACGACGAGGAGGAGGAGGAGGAGGAGGAGGAAGAGGAGGTAGAAGATGCCGATACTGGCTGTCGGTCTTCCCGAGGTGAGGCAGCAGTATGAGAGGACGACACTCCCAGAGCAGGAGAGCTATCCAGACGTTGAGACCCTTAATTGAAGGCGGATTGGTCGATGAGTAGCTGCAGGGCGCCAACGACAGCGTACATGGCTCCCAGCAGAGGGAAGACCCACACGCTCGTGTACAGCCCGTCTGGACCTCCTATTATGATCCCCCCATTCACGTCGTACACCTGATGGGGATGAAGGACAAGTGGTGGACCGTAGAGGGAGAGAGGCGATGTAAGTGTGTGTGTGGCATGGTGCTGCTGGCCTGCAAAGGGAAGACCCACACACTCGTGTACAGGCCGTCTGGTCCCCCTATTATGAGCCCCCCTTCACGTCATACACCTGATGGAGGTGGGAACAGGGAGAGGGAGTGAATGCTGTCCAGAGGCGGCCACAGGACGTGCTTTGAGTGGACTCAGAACACTGTCTACCTTGCGGAAGTGAGGAGGGGGGTAAGAGAGTGCAAGAGCATGGAGAGGGCGAGAGCAGGGAGAGGGAGAGAGCAGGGAGAGGGAGAGAGAAGAGAGAGGGCGAGAGCGGGGAGAGGGAGAGAGCAGAGTGAGGGGCGCACCTGCAGGGAAAGAAGCGCACCTGCAGGCCCACGACGGAGTGAATGCCATCCAGAGGTGGCCCCAAGGCGAACCCAGCCACAAAGAGGCAAGCCAGCACAGTGGGCCAGCTGAAATGGGCGGCTGGCAGGGAAATGTACGCAGCACGGACGGGGAAAGACAGGTCGACATGAGCAGGTGAGGAGCATGTGGGGAGAATGTGGGGATCGGGAGCTAAAAAGGTGTGATAGACAATTAGACTCGCGCTGATCCACTATCCAATTGCTGTTAGCATCTGTTCAAATCTCACTGCTTTCACTCACCTCACACTGCTCTTACTTACCTCACCCCGCTCTCACTCACCTCACACCGCTCTCATTCACCGCCCCGACTCACCTTCTTCCGCATCTGGCAGTGCCCCTGTGCTCTTAATCACATCTGGCTTCTGCTGCTGCTGCTGCAATTCCTTTGGTTCCTGCTGATCCTGCGGTTCTGAAGCAGACGGCGTCGGGGACTGCGGGGAGCTGGGGGAAGACGCACGAGTGGGTCCCGATCGAAACAGTTTCCGTCGACTGACGGAAACTGACGAACTCATTGACGGAATCCGTTTGATTAACACGTGCACCCCACTTCGAATCCCGACTGAATTACACGTTCCGGCAGAGCAGCGTTTCCGTGGGCTATCAGAACAGTAGCATAAGATCGTGAACGGGGCGTGCGCCTTAATCATGCTCTCGGAACAGGGAAGCTGCCGCGGACCAGGGCTGACTTTATCAGACTAAAATAGTCTGATTGTCTGAAATCTCAGGGTATTTTCCTACGGATCCTGATTTTTCAGACTTGTAAGATTTTCAAACATGAGTGCCTCAGACTTACTTGGTTTTGGATCCTGAGATTTTCAGAGTACTGACTTAGCCGATAATGGGTCTTCATACTACAGGGAGTACGGATCCTGAAATGCGGATCTGTGATTTCTACGTACATTCCGCTACGTCATATGTTGCCAGTGTACGAACACACTTCATGGCGCTGTCACGCGCAGAATCTGTCCTTGGCAACTTTTGCCACCCTTTTCCCTTAGAAATCTGCCAACTTGGCTCACTCTTCCACTCACGCGGGACCATCACTGCAGCTACGCGGTGTCAGCGAGGGAAACTGGTTAGCGTTGCGCCCCACGTGCTACATTTGTGGCAGTGCTGTACTGCAGTGGTTGTAGTGTGTTCTGAGTACTTCAGACTTGTGTTTTTGCGGAACCTGAAAAATCAGAGTGGCCATTCTCTGGGAAATATGCCTCAGACTAAAAAATTTCAGAGCCCCCAGAACATCAGACTGGATTTTTTTGAATAGTCAGCCCTGCCGTGGACAGACGTTTTTCAGGAAACTAGCCGCCATAGTCGCTGCTTTCTAGCGCTACGTTCGCAAGAGTTGTGCTGGATGAGAAAGGACGAGCAAAAATTGCATTCAGGGGCAAAGAAACCACGTGTTCTGTAAACTGTCACTTCTGAAGTAGGCTGCACTTCGTGACCTGCCGTGGAGAGGAGAGCCCTGATGGGAAATGTGAGACAAGCCTTAAGAAGACTGGAGAGAAGTGGAGAAAATTGCAATGTGTGTCAAACATTTGTGGGCAAATCCGTGCCACATTATATCACGTTCCCCTCCACACAGGTTTCGGGAAAAGGGAGATGTCGAGTCGAGGAGGCTTCTGACGAATCGCGAACAAGGAGGAGTTCTTGTGCGTTCCGATATTACACAAATGACGAAGGTACCGTAATCCCCCGTATATAAGACCCTAGGGTATTATGATAATCACCCCTAAAAAGGCTGGGGGGTATAATTAAATGGTATATTTTTTAGAAGACCCGGGTCTTTTAACATTGGCATTTATAAGAATGCACGATGTTGTACATTTCAGTCTCGTAAGTTCAATCGAATCGAACTTTTACAGCGTCCTGAATCAGAATCGCGCGATGACGTTTCCCTGACTGTGCACAGAGATTTGGCACGTCACTTTGTCCGCGTGCCAGCTCATCCTGACTGGACGCGCAACAAGTGAAGCCAACACATTGAAAATGGGTGTTGACTCATTTGAAATTCGAAATTCGTTACCATTTTCAATTGCAATTGTTTGAAAAAATCGCACTTCTCTAGTATGTGGGGGGGTCTTATAATGTTAGGAGCCATTTAGGGGGGTATAACTCAGATGTACTCGAATAGAGTACCCGGGTCCGTATTATAGACCCGGGGGTCTACAACTGGGGGGGGTCTTATATACGGGGGATTACGGTATGTCCATCAACAAGAGAGTTAATGACTTGCACACTCAATTGTTACATTGCCTTAGCAACTTCTCTACACCAAATGCACAAGTTTCAACAAAGGCACAAGAGAGTCAGACCTGTATGTACATCATGTCCAATCAATAATATCCAATGAGTGGAGGTGACGTCTTGAGCTTGAAAACCATATAAACCTTGGCTAAGCCTCCCACCCCACCATATCCTCACCCCCATTCCCACTCACCAGCATTCTCCATCTTGTCACTCCCACCTTCCCCCACTCTCCTCTCATTCCCATTCCTCAATCACCTCCCCATACTCCATTCTCAAAACTGCCTTCTATCTGCAATCCAATTCCGTCTCTTACCCCATCCCTTCACTCCTCCGCTGCGCCACCCTCCACTGCTTCGACCCCTGATCGAACCTGCTTCCCAAGTCGAGCCACCTGTTGCTGCAAGGACGCCACCTCCACAGCCACGGCGAGCGCAAGTGCGAATCTGCTCTGCGCCGATCGCAGGGTGGGATGCGCCAATCCCGCAAGGGGTAACGGCTTCCCGTGACTCACACCCGCCGCAGATCTCGTTCCTGGGTGACCGGAATCATGAGAATTCCCGCTGGTTGCAATTTGATGATCCCCACATGGTTCTGGAAGAGCGGAATCTGTCTCGTGGCGGATCCAGCAACCGATGCAGCCTCTGCTGTTGCCGGCGCCACCACTGCTGCCGGCGCTGCTGCTGCTGGATGAGTCGCCTTTGCAAGAAAGAGCGCACGGCCAGCGAATCTGGAAACCTGGACACGTGATGCACTCTCCTTCACGCTCCTGCTGCCCGTCCTGGTCTTCCCTGGCGCCTTTCGCGAGCTTTTCGCCATCAACATAAACTCTGACAAGCCTAGGATCGAATCCACTTTCCTCTCCGTCGTCGCTCGCTTCATTTGAGTCACCTGGCGACGTCCTGTGCGCCGTCGCACACCCGACGAGATGCATCAGCCCTCCGTCGCCCAGAGGCGACGATGCGTGACTGTAACGAGCGGCGGCGAGGTCCATCCAGCCATGCTGCAGCTGCGTGGCGAGCACGTGGCGCAGCCGCACGACGGCGTCGGTGCTATCCAACAGCTGTAACGTGGAGGACTCCATTGCCTACGAACAGTCTATCCCGGAACACAAGAGTGGTAACCTGAGCAACATGAAATGGAGATCTCGTGAATTTGCCAGCTTCTGGAGGTGAGGGAACAGAGGCTAGCTGTGGAGAACTGTAGAGTTGTGCGCCTAGACGTGAATTTGCGAGGGGGAACGTGAATTGTATAAAGCGGGGGGGGCGGAAGGAGGGGGGGTTGCGCCTGGACCTGGACTATTGTGCGCAATGAGATTCACGTGATTGACCCCCGTGCCAACCCATCGCAGCCTCGGGTTGGTGGGACCCTACATTGAATCTGCTTCGTGGAGCGATGTAAATTTTATTTAACCCCAACTAGTAAAGGGAGCTAAGGCAAAAGTTCAGGTTATGCAAATCAGACGCCGTGTAGAGCACTCACATGCTGTATAGGCACAAAAGAACTATCATTTTATGGTAATTTATCATCCTCAGGTCAGGTTTGGCTTGCCCAATCATTGGGTAAAACCCAACCAAGGCCAGTGATCAGGTCAGGTAGGGCGAAAACAGAGGAATTTGGATTGCCTACCAAGGGGCTGAGCATCTCCGCCTGCCCCCGCGTTTTTTCCGCTCGAAAGGCGGAGCATGCCATCCAGCTGAATCCTGCTCCGTCAAGCGCGTTCTAGCCACATATCACAGCAACCTTCCCCACTCACTTCCCTCCACCCTGCAAAATTTCCCCAGCCTCTCCCACACCTCACACACGTCCCCTCAATGCCCCCGACACTAGTGTCTCCTTCCCCCCGAGCAGCCAGCTGGACTTCGTTCCTTCTGCTCCGCATTCATCCGCTCCCTCCCCCTTTTTCCCCCTCGTCCCTTCTTATCGCGCTCTTCCCCTTCATCTGTTTCCCCCTATCCAGAGAGCTCCAGATTTCAGGTCTTGCTTGAGATTTGCTCTTTTCTAGAACCCGCCAGTTATTTGCCGTCTAATCTCTCCACCAGACTAGGCTACGTCAAATGTGCACTCTACTTATTCACTGTTGCTTGTCAGTGCCGAAATCCTCGTATTTAGGGTGACCATGATGCTCCCTGTTATCGTTCCTCCGCAAGGGGGCTTTCGGCTTCTGTCCGAAGTGCCTTTGTTGGATTCGCCTCGTCTCAGCCTGGTAGGCTTGCGAAATAATCGCGGAGCGTCTCAATTTCGGGCGAAAGTTTCTTCTGCAACTACTCGGGCCCCTATTCCACAAAAGGTCATAAACTTAAATAGCTTTTCTGCTGCTTACTGAAGTTATTTTTCTCCGAAATCTGGTGTAAATTTCTCCATGCCATGGCGTCGATTTGACGTAAATGTTTCTTATACATGTGTACTTCTCTGTGAGAAGAGCTTGAATTCCTGAACTTGTTTCTGCCTTTATTCCGTCCCTCTCGGCCTTTCCCAGGAGCATCACTACGGGCATTTGTCTAGCGGTCACGACCACGGACGAGCAGCACGCGGTCCGGCCGTTGTAAAACACGAGAATGACTTCGACAACGTCACATTCGATAACGGATTTCGCGGTGACAGTAACCTCCGCACGAACAGCGCTTCATCTCATGGCGAGAAAATAATGGTCTCAGTGCGAATCCACTCCGTATCCGCCGGAGAAACCGTTTCTTCCATCGCATCCAGCTACTCCATTCCTGTGGACGCTCTTCTCGCGGCTAACGGCAAATCGTCACCAAGCATTCGCGTCGGTGAGGTGCTTTATCTCCCGTCCTCTTCGGCATCTTCCGTCGCATCGTCGCAGTCGAAGGCGCACTCGGGGTCGCAGGCAGGACACTCACAATTTGTGTCTCTGCACATTCGTGAGAACCACGGAACTAGCTCCAGGCAGTCGACCCTCCCAACCGGCTCGCAAGAATGCGTCCGTTTGTGCACGGACAGCAGCGCTACCATCGCTGACGCAACTTCCATCTCCACCGGGACCACCACCACCAGTACCACCAGCAGCAGCAGCAGCAGCAGCAGCAGCAGCGGCTTCAGTGATGCCCGGGGAGCTAGCGCCGCTGCTGCAGCATCTGCGCCTGTCGCTACCGCGGGGCGCGTGTGCCTCACTAGCTGCCGGACCGCTCCCACTGGCAGGGAAGCGGGAATGCGGATGAGGGTGAGGGGATGGCTAAAGAATTCCTCCGGTGCTGTCAGTGCGAGTCCTGATACTCGTGTCAATGTGTCACCCGCTGCTCCTTGTGAGGGAACTTCGCCTGCTCTGCTGATAACATCCGCCCCTGCTGCTCCTGCTGCTGCTCCTGCTGTTCTTGCTGCTGCTGTTGCTGATGCTTCTGCTGGAGGCTCTACTCATGTCGTGGACGCTCCTGATGCTCACTCCCAGGCTGCATCTGCTGCGGACACTGCCTCAGCCACGTCTGCCGCTGCCGAGTACGAGCTGAGCGGGTTTGCTAACTTCTTCGCTGCAAGAAAGCACCTCAGTCGGACCATGCACCTTGAAGGATGGAGAAAAGGACCTGGGGGTGCCCACACAGGGAGTGACGGTTCAAGACAGGGTGTGGTGGCGTCGGTGACTCAGGCGTTAGTTCCTGTAAGAGGGGGTGAGGTGCAGCAATCGCTGCCGTTGATTGGCCTCGGAGTCGCTAACACTGTCGCTGCGGGAGCTCTTGCTGTGCGCTCGGGATTGCATGATCTGGTCCGTGCCGCCTTGCTGCTGCAGCTGCAGGGTTTCTCGCAGAAGCAACACGACCAAAGACAGCAGCAGCAGGAGCAGGAGAAGGAGCAGCAGGGGGAGGGAAGTGAGCAGAACGTGGGAAGAATGAACGAGCAGGAGTTGCTCCAGCGTGTGAAGGACGAGAAACGGCTAGAGTTTTCGAAAAGGGCTCTCAAGAACTACCTAGACCTGCAGAAACGAGAGGTCAAACGGTCTGGCATGGAGGGAGCTGCTCTGCGGCTCAAGATGAGAATGGCCAAGGCGAATGGGAAGGATCCTCTACCATTTGCCCCGTTACAAGATAAAATGGGCCCGCGCCGAAACGTGATGGCCGAAATCCGCAATGTTGTGGCCGAGGCGGTGGCAGAGGTGGTAGAAGGAGAGGAATGCATGGTGGTACTTGAGAGGAGTAAGGCATTGGTGAAGGACACAGAGAACACAGGGGAGGCGAGAGTAGTGGGAAAGGGGGTTGCTAGTGGAAACAGTATTGGTGTAGGGGCAGAGCAGGCGGGCAGAATGATTGAGATGATGGAGAAGGGATGGTATGGTGGAGCTGGTAAAACAGAAATGAATGGAATTATGGGCTTGGAAGGGGATGAGGACGGGCTTGGAGAGGTGGGGCCAGAGGTTTTTCTGGAGTGGAGTGTGGAGAAGGCCAGAGAGGCCAATGCACATGCAATGGGTTATACCAAAGAAGGGAGTTAAGAATACTGCAGTTTGCAGCTGAACAGGAGGGACAACAGCCGACATGGCTCCTGGATGATGATGACAAAACTGACAGCACAAGGCCTGTATTTATACTGACAGTGCAACTGACTTGCATTGACAGTAACCTTCTGATCTTCTGATGTAATGTGTTGGTGTGATTATGCATCACGCTGTAAGGGTGGTTTGCCCATTCACCATCTAATGTTATACATCTGTTGGGAACTGATTTGAATCTAGCTGCCATTTTTTGGAAACTGTGCGCTCTGGATTCCCTAATCTGGACCTAGAGAATATAATGTTTGCAAAAGTTTTCAAGTGGAATAAGGTAATGACCTTTTTATTGTCAAAACTGCAAACATTGCATTATATGCACCCTAATCTCTACAAGGTTCGTGGGCTATGTATAGACAACCCCGAGAAGAACATTCAAAACGGGGATCTCGCCGTCCCGCCAGAATGGTTGACGAGATGACGGCAAATTTTGAACCAGGGTCTGAAACGAGTCAGCAGGACGTTGACGGCGGCTCGAGCGATGGCTTCCGTAGCATCACCTGATTGGTGCCAGACCATACCATCCACATCATGCTTTGCCAAAACAGCCACCCTCACCACCACTAGTTCATCCATTTTCCGGCGCTTAGCCAAAAGCCCCTCATTACTGTGCTCAACCCGCAGCCCTTAGCATTCTGCGGATGACATTGTAACACTTTCGCATTCATGAAGATGTTTCGCAGATGGTTGCCCTTTCCCGCGAACTGTCGGACAGCACGCGCCAGTGCAACACTCTCCGACACTGCGCGGCTAACGCAACACTGTTCCCACCTTCGTTCACTTTCATTGGCCGAATTTTTCCCGCTCTCCGCCTGTCAGCGGATCCTGCCCATTCACTTTCCAGCGGCTTCCCCCTCGGCTTGCAGTGGCTTCGCATGGCGAGGCGAGCGACTCTGCTTGTCGCTGCCTTCGCTTCCCTTTCACTGTATCTCATGCATTCCACCACGAAACCCTTCTGAAATCCTCTCAATGTCTCTTAACCCACCCCTAACCCTCGAGCCTCCTCCCCTTCCCTCCCAATCTGCCATCCACTCTCACCTTGTTCTCCATGAGCACTTCACAAGTTTCTCGACATTCCCTAGGCAGCATAATCTTCTGGTGTGACTCAAGTTAGTCTTGGTGACTCGGTTTCTCCGAGTCCATGGCTTCCTCTGTTGTGACTACAGCCTTATTCATGGCTTCCTCCGTTGTGACTACAGCCTTATTCGCTACCATGATGGTAGCTAAAAACTAGAAATTAATCGAGCTATAGATTGGTTAAAGTTCAGGATTCCGAACGCTCAGTTATCCAAACAGACCATCAGCCTGATGATTCAACCTTCAAGAGTTACGACGGTCGGTCGGTTGTTACCATCAGAGTTACAACATCGGACCTTATGCAGATTAGATTCGTTAGATTAAGAATATCGGTGGATCTCCTCCAAGCATCAGCTCCTGATGTTCGTCGAATCCATATGCTCGCTCGACTGACATTTCAGTTCATCAAATCTTATTACTGATCGTCACGCTCTTCTTCGAGTCGAACGCGCACCATCTCTTTCGTCAGATCTTCAACCCGAAGCTTCCTTCCTACGCTAGTGTCGCCGGCTTCCTACGAAGTGTACAGCAGTTGATCCGGAATCTGAATCGATACTTCTTCCTACGACGCCGCCGGTCATACGACAGAAATGGATTCGTTTCCGTTGCTATCTGGAAATTTCAGCTTCTCATTTCAAATTCGTTTCCGTTGCTACCTGGACATTTCATTTCTCATTTCAGATTCGTTTCCGTTGCTATCTAGACATTTCAGATTCGTTTCCCTTTCTGTCTGACCATTTCAGATTCGTTTCCATTGCACTGCAATCTGCTCTGTCCTGGTCCGTGCAGAAGTTGGCTTCCTGGTCTTCCGTGACATGTATCATGCCAAGAACTGGGCGGAGAACCATCGAGCGTTTTGGAGCCGGGTGGAGCAACGTTGTGCAGCGTGCTACTCCTCCTCCTCCTCCTCCTCCTCCTCCTCCTCCTCCTCCTCCTCCTCCTCCTCCTCCTCCTCCTCCTCCTCCTCCTTTCTCTGAAGGAATACTATGGAGAGCGTAGCGATAGCAAGAGAGTTTCTGATATGAGAATGGTGTTGCACTAGCAACTCAGTAGCGTTTAAGTAGCGTTCGTCTCCAAGGACTTCGTGAGAATTCAAGTAGCAATTGGACTTCACAAGAAAAGTAATATGATCCATGAATACAAAAGCAAACATACATGCAAATATAGGCAAGCAAGAGTTGCACAAATGTTGCGTGGCGCTTCGGTGTAACCCAACCCCACGAAAGTGGTGTGCGGGTGGGTGAACGTGCCCCGCCAAACTTCCATCCAACTCAGCAGCAAAATGTACTCCGTGCACGCCACTCCAGCCAGCACTGCAAGGAGTGGCGTGACTCTCAAAGAAGCACACCTAACTCCCAAAGACTCATGCCTCCTCACACCGAATCCACCACTTCTCCAACCATCACGGAGATCGGTGCCGAGGCATTATGTCCTCAGTCGCCGACTTGCCAAGTCAAACGCTTCACGAGGGCCCTTGCTGTCGTAGGGCCCTCTAACACTCCCCTGCCATACTACAGCAAGGCCCTTTATAGTCACAGGGCATGCATACACGCATACATACCAAAAGAAAGGGACACACATACAAACGAAGCACTCTCAAAGTGCATACACGCACCGCACCAGCCATGGATAGGCCATGGCACCATCCCCATCATGGAGTGTCTAGGTCTCACTCCCCTCGCTCGAGAGCCTCACCTGCCCCACAGCCTCGAAGCAATGGCTGAAGGCGGGGAAATGCAACGCCTTGGTAAGGTAGTCAGCCGGCTGCTCGCTCGTAGGGATGTACTGCAGCTGCAGCATCCTGCGCTTGACCATGTGCTGCAGCCACATGTGGCGACGCTCCATGTGCTTGAGGCTCCCCTTGAGCCCCAATCCACCTGCCATTGAAATGGCGGAGGAGTTGTCCACGAAGAGGGTAGTGGGCTCCTCACTCCTCAGTAGTTGAAACTCTGCCAGCAAGAAGCGCAACCTGCGCGCCTCCTTCCCAGCCTCCACAGCACCAACGTACTCAGACTCAGTGGAGGAGAGGGTGGCGCAACGAATCCTCTGGCTCGCCCAAGATACATCAGCACCTCCAAGCACGAAGACATAGCCACCAGTGTTGGTCCTGTTCTGCTTGTCCCCTGCATCATCAGCATCGGCGTAGCCCACCAGCTCCAAGGACTCCGGCCCACCACCAAACTCCAGCGCCACATCCCTGCTCCCCACCAAGTACGCCAAGCACCGGTCCAACTCCTTCCATTGCTGATCACTCCGCACAGTCTGGCGTCACAGTAGAGGGCAGCGAGGCGTGCTCCACGCGGTTGTGCACCCAAACAGCCTGTGACAGCGCCAGGTGCCACCAGTGATGCTGCACACCCATGTGTAGCAACATCGTCCGCACTGCCTCCACAATGCTGCGCATCTCCCTCTCAACCATCCCGTTCTGCTCCGGGCACGTGAGGTCGTGGATGATCCCCTTCTCGTCAAGGAAGAGCGTGAAGTCATGTCCCAGGAACTCGCCACCCCGATCAGTGCGCAGCGCCTTCACTTTGGTCTTACACTGCCGCTCTGCCATCGGGAGCCACTTCTGGAATGCCGCCAGTGCATCATCTTCTTGGCCAAAGGGTAGGCCCAGACGTACCGCGTCTTGCGATCCTTCAGCACCAAAAAGTAGCGGCTGCCGTCCTTAGATGCTTCACGAAAAGGGCCACACAGGTCAGTATGCACCACTCCAAGCAGCTCATCCTCCTCCTCTCCCACAGAAGGAAAGGTATGACGGGTGATCTTTCCCCCAACACAAGAGACGCATGGCATGCTTGACTTGCCCCCCTTCTCCAACTCCAAGCCCTTCACTGACCCGTGAGCCGCAGTACGCTCTATGGCGTCAACACCGACGTGTGCGAGGCGCGCATGCCACGTGTCCACCTTAGATCGCACGCCCGTCACCAAAGTGCGCAGGGCCACCGATTCACCCTCCCGCTACTGCGTCGAGCATGGCTGGAAGTTCGTGCAGAGGACACGTCCCTTGAACTCCGCATGACCAAGGAGCGACCCATCTGGCGCGCGCAGCAGAGTCACGTCCCCGACATCCAGCAGCTGCACGCCACTATCACGCAGCTGCCCAGCAGAAAGAAGACTCGCCCGCACTCCAGGTACGTACAGCACGTCCGGCACCAAGACACACCTGCCCCTGTCTCCAAGGAGAGCGGCTGTGCCTCGCCCCTGCACCTCCTGAGGAGCGCCATTGAAGCCAATAACATGTTTTATACCGCCGCCACTGCTCAACTCCACAAAGGCAGAGCGATCTCCCATAAGATGGTGGGAGCATCCGCTATCAAGTAGCACGACGCTCGGGTTCGCCTTTACGGCAGCTGCAACAGCCTGTAAGCCCTCCCCGGCCTCAGGCTCCAGCATGACGGGAGGAGGATGCTCTATAACGGGCTTCACCATCGCAATGGATGACTGCCCGCTCCCCTTAGAGCCATCTCCCCCCTTGCCACTCGCGCTGCTGCCTCCAGAACCCTCTCCACCCTTGTCTGCCTCTTTATCCGCCCGCTGCTGACAGTACTTAGCGATATGCCCCGGCTGCCCACACACGTAGCAATTCCCCTTGAACCCTCCTTTCCCCCCCTTTGACTGGCCATCCTAAGCCCCTTTCCACTTCTCCCCTCCCTCACTAACCCCACCCCCATGCTTAGGCTGCTACTGCTGTGCCGTAGTGGGAGGGGAAGGGGATGCAGTCTGCTGAAAATAGGGCTTACCCTTCTTGGTAAACACTTGGTTCGCCTGGGGAAGAAATTGGTCCTTCCGTCCCTCCGCCGCCAACGCACACTCTTCCTCGATAATGTAGCTAGCGAGGGTGTCCTCGTCCAGCTCCTTGCGCACCTGCGGCAATTTCAGCATCCTACGTAAGAGGTTGTACTGCTGCGGCAACCCCTTCACGACGTGAGTAACGTACGACGCCTGCGAGTAATCTACGGCGGCCATCCTCAGGTTCACTAGGATCTGCTGCGCACGGTTGCAATAGGACGTGGCGGACTCGTGCTCTCCCATCTCGAGGTTAGTGAGCGCCTGCTCTAACTGACCTATGTACAGGTCGTCCTTCGCCATATACGTGCGCATAATAAACTGCCATGCCTGAAAGCCGACATCTACCTTCATGCGACACGCCTTAAGGGCGATCTGTACGGTTGGGGAGCAGCATCGGGAAATCGTGGTGAATGGCAGTAACTGCATTGCGCGAAATTGTGTGACAAGCGCAACTGCATGCGCTGGGGGAGCAGGTGTGGTACTGTCGATGAATCGCTTAAGCTGATAGATTCTACCCACGTCGACAGGTCGTGACGTCCTTCTAATGGCCTAGGTACGACGATCTTGTCTGGAGTGAATTTGAAGAAACCATAGTTGGGGGCTATTCCCTCGTCCCTCGTCATCGATCCAATTGGGGTAACGCCCGGCATAGCCTCACTATCGTACGCCTCCGCATTCCCTCCTCCAACAGCGCTCCGCCATCCTACATTCGCACGCTCTCGTGACGCCGCCGCTCGATGAACACGCTCCTGTAGACCGCCGATGCTAGCCGTACTAAACCGATTCGGTCCTCGCAGGACCCCACGTGACATCAACCCATCAATCTCCTCGTCGTCGCTATTTCCGCCATCGACAGCCATATCCCACGTACTAGTACCTCCCGCAGCTTGCTCAACATTCTCTACACGTGGCGAGGGATGATCGCGACGCCGACGAGCGCGTAATCCCTCCTGCATGAGCTCGTACTCGATATCACTAAGCTCACCACGAGAATGGCGGGCTACGAGATCCTCCTCTAATGCGCGAATATGGCCGTCCTCAACGTTCGCCTCCTCCGTACTCATCCTCTACGACGTCTCTATAAGGTACCACAAATTTAAAAAAAAAATTGTCCCTTCCTTAAATCCCTCGTCTCGGGGTCACCTCACAAGGGTCCTCAGACGAGTGGTAATGAATTACCAAACGCCCTATCCTTGGGTCCGAGAGCGTAACTGGAGGGAAATTAAGAGAGGTTCAACTTAAATTAATGAGCGCCCTTCACTAACGCCGCACGCCAAGGCGAGTATTCTAACGAACGTCGACGGAAAGCTATGCGTGTTCGTTCCACGCTCACCGCACCATGAAGGAATACTATGGAGAGCGTAGCGATAGCGAGAGAGTTTCTGATATGAGAATGGTGTTGCACCAGCAACTCAGTAGCGTTTAAGTAGCGTTCGTCTCCAAGGACTTTGTGAGAATTCAAGTAGCAATTGGACTTCACAAGAAAAGTAATATGATCCATGAATACAAAAGCAAACATACATGCAAATATAGGCAAGCAAGAGTTGCACAAATGTTGCGTGGCGCTTTAATGTAACCCAACCCCACGAAAGTGGTGTGCGGGTGGGTGAACGCGCCCCGCCAAACTTCCATCTAACTCAGCAGCAAAATGTACTCCGTGCACACCACTCTAGCCAACACTGCAAGGAGTGGCGTGACTCTCAAAGAAGCACACCTAACTCCCAAAGACTCATGCCTCCTCACACCGAATCCACCACTTCTCCAACCATCACGGAGATCGGTGCCGAGGCATTAGGTCCTCAGTCGCCGACCTGCCAAGTCAAACGCTTTGCGAGGGCCCTTGTTGTCGTAGGGCCCTCTAACATTCTCCACCTCCCTCCACCTCCCTCCACCTTCAGATTCCTTCTCACTCCTGACGCTGCTGGAGGTGCGGAGGTGCGGATGTTCGGAGTGTTGGAGGTGCGGAGGTCCTGGCTGTTGCGTGCGGCAGAGCAGAGGCGATGCCTGAGGGGGTACGGAGCACAAGCGTAGAGCAGAGGAGCAAGAGCGTCGCCTCTTCTCTTTGCTGGTAATCTTCTTTCTTGAATCGTTTTCTGTTTTCCTTCATTCTACTTTCGTCATTTCAATTTTCCTTTCCTTTACTCTGTCTGCTGTATTTCTGTCTTCCGTAAGTCTATTTCCCTTATTCTGTGTACCATGTCCTGTGTGCCTTGTCCGTCCAGAAACGTGGAGGAGAGGAGGAGCCGAGAAGAAGCTGAGGAGAAGAGGAGCAAAAGTGTCACCTCTGCTCTACTGGAGGGATCATGCCAGCACTTGCTGCAGCGACTCCAGAGAGGAACACAAGCACCGCCTCTGCTCTTTGCTGGTAATATCCTTTCCTGATTATGTTTTGTTTGCCTTAGTTCTGTTTGCATCATTTCGGATTTCCTTTCCTTCGTCTGCTTGATGCTGTTTTTTCGCAATTCTGTTTTCCTTATTCTCTTTGCCTTTTCCTGTGTGCCTTGTCGGAGCAGAATGTGGAGGAGAGGAGGAGCAGAGGAGCAGCTGAGGTGGACGGGCGCGTGGCTGAGGTGGATGGGCACATGGCTGATGTGGACACGCGCGGTGGGATAATGCACGGCCAGCAGCCACTGGCGTGTGGCTGCCTCTACCCGCCCTGAGGTGGACGTCCTGACCTTGCTGACCACCCGCTCGAGGAGCATTGGAGCATGGGAGCCGTGCAGCATCAAGGCATCACTGGCATCTCGTGGGCAGCAAAGCAACTGGGAAGCCTCTTTCCCCTCGCCTTCCGTTCTCGTCACCCCACCCTCCATTCGTTTCGTTTTGTCATTCTGTGATTTCCGCACCTCGTTCGTTCTTCACTCCATCGTCTATGCACTTCGCGTTTGTGCACGCCCCTCTGATACGTTCGGCTGCAGTTTAGTAGATGTCCTCCGCGGGTTTTGGGTAGCATAGATTTTGGGTTGGGTAGCATAGACTTTGGGTTTTGGGTAGCATAGCTCCTCCCTCTGCTAGCTGCAGCCGACGTTTCATGGACGTGCATCCATCCCACCACCTCGTTTCCACGTGTTGTTCTCCGCTCTCAATTTTTGCACTTTGTTTCCACTTTCGATTCCGCATTTCATTTCCTTGTGTTTGTTTTGCTTTCTTTTCCATTTCGCAGTTCTGTTTACTGACTTCGTGCATCTGTCTGTGTGTTCCCTCTCCCTGTTTTTCAGCAATCATGGGTTCTTCACTCCAGATCGGTTCTCCACTCAAGGATGCGCCAAGCACGGGAGCCTGCAGAGGACGGCAGCAGTGACTCGGGAGGCAACAGCAGTGAGAGGGAGAAGCGAGCGGTGGGATGACGCACGGCCGGCAGCCACACGGCTGCCTCCTACCCGCCCTGCTGACCACCCGCTCTGCTCGAGGCGGGCGCTTCAGGCAAGGAGGTGCGGAGGCAAGGAGACGGCACTTCAGCAGAGGTCTAGTGTGGTGTGGAATGGTATGGTGTGGTATGAGGAGGAGGCGGCAAAGAGACGGCACTTCTGGCGAGGAGGCAAGGAGGCATTGAGGCGTCCCTTCAGGCGAGGAGGCGAGGAGCAGGTGCAGTGTGGTGTGGAATGGTATGGTGTGGTATGAGGAGGAGGCGGACACTTCGGGCAAGGAAGCGCGGAGGCAAGGAGGCGGAAATTCAGCAGAGGTGTGTAGTATGGTAGGCTTTTGCTTTGGGCAAGGAGGCGCGGAGGAGGCGGCACTTCAGCAGAGGTGTGTCGTGTGGTAGGCTGACACTTCGGGCAAGGAGGCACGGAGGAGGCGGCACTTCAGCAGAGGTGTGTAGTGTGGTAGGCTGACACTTCGGGCAAGGAGGCGCAGAGGAGGCAAGGCGGCATCACTTCAGTTGAGGAGGTAGCACTTCAGGTGAAGAGGCAAGGAGAGGCAGCACTTCACTCAACATGGCTTCTTCACTCAAAATGGGCTTCTTCACTCAAGAGCGGAGGCGCCTGCAGAGAAGCAGGTGTAGTGCTGTGTGGTATGGAGTGGTCTGGAATGTTGTGGTTTTGTGTGGTGTGGTGGAGCGAGGAGGACGGGCGAGCGTGGTGGGATGACGCACGGCCGGCAGCCACTGGCGTGTGGCTGCCTCCTACTCGCCCTGCTGACCACCCGCTCAAGGCAAGGAGGACACTTGGAGCAAGGAGGTAAGCATGCGACTCTTGGGGCTCGAGGCAAGGAGGAGACTTGGGGAAAGGAGGAGGAGGCAACCAGGCGGCACTTCAGGTGAGGGGACGACGTGGCAAGGAGGCGGCACTTGAGACGAGGATGCGGCACTTCAGGTGAGGATGCGGCACTTGCGGAGAGGAGGCGGCACTTCAGGCGAGGAGGCGGCAGGTCCGGCAAGGGGTGAGGCGGAGGAACGTGAGGGAGTTGTTGATGGGTTGGACGAGTGGATGCATGACTGGGATGCTGTGGGAATGAAAAACGGAGAGTAGCGGTGGGAACCGTGTTGAGGCAGAGAGGGTGGTGCCACCTCTCGTAAGTCCTCTTCACGGGTGGCCCCGCCCATCGCTGCTCCACGTCCTCATTCGTCAGCACTGCCCTCCACGCACCTCCTCTTCCCACCTCTGACGCCCAACCTGACCTGCACTCCGTCCTCAACCCCTTCCCACCGTCGACACTGTAAGTCTCTGGTTTTGGTGTGGAGTGGTGTGGAGTGGTGTGGTGTGGTGTGGTGTGGCGTGGCAGCAAGGAGGGGGGAGCGGCAGCTTGGAGGGTATTCAACACCGTCACCGACATGTAAGTCTCTTCTTTGGTAGGGCGGAGGGGAGAGCAGCAGCATGAAGGGGAGTCAACACCGTCACCGACATGTAAGTCTCTGCTTTGGCAGGTCGGCGGGGGAGCGGCAGCATGGACGGGAGTCAACACCGTCACCGACATTGTAAATCGCATTCGTTTTTTGCATTCGTTTCCTGAGCCTCAAACGGTTTGCTGCTGCTCCCACAAGGTGCAGTGGAGAGCAGCAGGCCCCTTGGACCTGCACTTCTCCGCTGCACTGATGAAGAACGGAGGTATCGGGTGCTGCTGCAGTTGAGAAGGGCGCTGCCCCCCACCGGAGAAACTTCTGCTCTGCCATGGTAAGCTGAATTGAAATTTGAATATTGGAGTGATCTGAATCTGAATATCTGAATATTTTCAGCGCTTTCAATATTGGAAACCGAGTATTTATTCACTGATGCTGTGTGGTTTGACTTGTGCAGAGGAGGCGGACGTTGCGGGCGAGGAGGCGACGCTGCGGACTTGCGAGTGTTAATCCTGAATCTGGAGGCGAGGCAACGCGAGGAGGCGTCCGGCGAATCGGGAAGTGACAAGCGAAAGCAACGAGCGGTCACACAAGGTTAGTTCCCTCCTCTACCCTTGCACTCCCCGCTTCCCGCCACGGGCCGTTGTCGCTGCGACCTTCTGCATCTAACGTTTCTTGTTGCATGCAAACGTGCTCACTCACTTGTCGTTCCACTCTGCTCACCGTTCGCACTCCTATCTTGTTCACTGCCACTCGCTTGCTTTCTCTGGTAACCCTCTTCGCTTGCCATGTTTCTGTTTCCATGAGCTCGGTTTGCCTATCTTCCTGCCTTGACTCTGTTTTCTGTATTCTGTTTGGCTTTAAACGGCTTGCCCTGATTCTGTTTCCCTTGTTCTGTTTGCCTCGTTCTGTTTGCCTGGTTTGTTCAGAGGAGAAGCGGAGGGCGAGGAGGAGCGGAGGAGCGGAGGAACAGAAGCACTCGTCTCTTCTCTTCTCTGGTAACCCTCTTCGCTTGCCATGTTTCTGTTTCCATGAGCTCGGTTTGCCTATCTTCCTGCCTTGACTCTGTTTTCTGAATTTTGTTTGCCTTTAAACGGCCTGCCCTGATTCTGTTTCCCTTGTTCTGTTTGCCTCGTTCTGTTTGCCTGGTTTGTTCAGAGGAGAAGCGGAGGGCTAGGAGGAGCGGAGGAGCGGAGGAACAGACGCACTCGTCTCTTCTCTTCTCTGGTAACCCTCTTCACTTGCCATGTTTCTGTTTCCATGAGCTCGGTTTGCCTATCTTCCTGCCTTGACTCTGTTTTCTGTATTCTGTTTGCCTTTAAACGGCCTGCCCTGATTCTGTTTCCCTTGTTCTGTTTGCCTCGTTCTGTTTGCCTGATTTGTTCAGAGGAGAAGCGGAGGGCGAGGAGGAGCGGAGGAGCGGAGGAACAGAAGCACTCGTCTCTTCTCTTCTCTGGTAACCCTCTTCGCTTGCCATGTTTCTGTTTCCATGAGCTCGGTTTGCCTATCTTCCTGCCTTGACTCTGTTTTCTGAATTTTGTTTGCCTTTAAACGGCCTGCCCCGACTCTGTTTCCCTTGTTGTGTTTGCCTCGTTCTGTTTGCCTGGTTTGTTCAGAGGAGAAGCAGAGGGCGAGGAGGAGCGGAGGAGCGGAGGAACAGAAGCACTCGTCTCTTCTCTTCTCTGGTAACCCTCTTCGCGTGCCATATTTCTGTTTCCATGAGCTCGCTTTGCCTCTCTTCCTGCCTTGATTCTGTTTTCTGTATTCTGTTAGCCTTGAACGGCCTGCCCTGATTCTGTTTCCCTTGTTCTGTTTGTCTCGTTCTGTTTGCCTGGTTTGTTCAGAGGAGAAGCGGAGGGCGAGGAGGAGCGGAGGAGCGGAGGAACAGAAGCACTCGTCTCTTCACTTCTCTGGTAACCCTCTTCGCGTGCCATATTTCTGTTTCCATGAGCTCGCTTTGCCTCTCTTCCTGCCTTGACTCTGTTTTCTGTATTCTGTTTGCCTTTAAACGGCTTGCCCTGATTCTGTTTCCCTTGTTCTGTTTGTCTCGTTCTGTTTGCCTGGTTTGTTCAGAGGAGAAGCGGAGGGCGAGGAGGAGCGGAGGAGCGGAGGAACAGAAGCACTCGTCTCTTCTCTTCTCTGGTAACCCTCTTCGCTTGCCATGTTTCTGTTTCCATGAGCTCGGTTTGCCTATCTTCCTGCCTTGACTCTGTTTTCTGTATTCTGTTTGCCTTTAAACGGCCTGCCCTGGTTCTGTTTCCCTTGTTCTGTTTGCCTGGTTTGTTCAGAGGAGAAGCGGAGGGCGAGGAGGAGCGGAGGAGCGGAGGAACAGAAGCACTCGTCTCTTCTCTTTTCTGGTAACCCTCTTCGCTTGCCATGTTTCTGTTTCCATGAGCTCTGCCACTTGCTTGCTTCCTATCTTGTACTCTGCCACTTGCTTGCTTTATATCTTGTTCTCTTCCTCCCCTCCCTGTGCAGGTTCATATGCTCAACATGCGCGGGGAGTCGAAGACCCCCCCACCTTCCTCCCCTCCCTGTGCAGGTTCATATGCCCAACATGCGCGGGGAGTCGAAGACCCCCCCACCTTCCTCCCCTCCCTGTGCAGGTTCATATGCTCAACATGCGCGGGGAGTCGAAGACCCCCCCACCTTCCTCCCCTCCCTGTGCAGGTTCATATGCTCAACATGCGCGGGGAGTCGAAGACCCCCCCACCTTCCTCCCCTCCCTGTGCAGGTTCATATGCTCAACATGCGCGGGGAGTCGAAGACCCCCCCACCTTCCTCCCCTCCCTGTGCAGGTTCATATGCTCAACATGCGCGGGGAGTCGAAGACCCCCCCACCTTCCTCCCCTCCCTGTGCAGGTTCATATGCTCAACATGCGTGGGGAGCACTGAAGACCCCCAACTGTGGCATCAGGTGGTGTGCGGCAGGGGCTGCTGACGGCGTTTGGGTCGGCCACCTAATGCCTGAAGCGCCCCTGTGTGTGAGTGCTCTGATGATGGATGGGGGGACGCTCCCTGAAGTCGGATGAGCCTCACCTCGCCTCCACCTGGGCCGGGCTCTGCCTGGTTTGAGCGAGGCTTGAGAGACGTCTCATGTCCTCCTCGTGCCACTGCGGGGTTGCGGAGTGGAGGTGGACTGCACGGCACGCCAGCAACGGCGTTGTAAGTAGCTGCTTTCCACGCTTTCCTTGCTTGTTTTTCTTCACTGTTTCCTTGTTTGTTGCTTGTTTCTTTGCTGTTTCCTTGTTTGTTTCCTTTCGGTTTCCTTGTTTGTTGCTTGTTTTCCTTCTATGTTTCTTTGTTTGTTTCCTTGTTTGTTGCTGTGCTTGCTTGCTTGCTTGCTGTTGCTACTAACCCCCCGTGGTCCCCATGCAGGTCCCACACGAAGGGTCCCCACCTCAACGTGGTGTGTGGGTGTAACACTAGGGGTTAAACCCCCTAGTGGCCAAGAGGGGCCCAGAAGACAGAAGAGAAGACCATGGCGCATTCATGATTTTGGAATTAGATAATTGCATGAATACTGTAATGATAGATCTGCTTAGGTTAAGGATCAAACAAAAACGTCTCAGCATGGACATTTGAAACTAGGTAGTTTAACGCGCTCCAGAGAAGCATATGGTGCAACATAGCTGATCAACAGCATCATTAGTGTATGCACAAGGACATCTGATACATTCATTTCATGCAAATAAAGCAACAACATGCAACAGAGACAAAACTGGACAATGCTAGTACTTGTGTTGCTACTTCTGGCAATGCTGGGTGCTGTTGAGGCATCACCAACAGAGACTCATGGGAAGTCCCTACCTACCGACATGGTAACAGCATGCTGAAGTGTGCAGGATTGCTTTCTGTTGTGCTGCACTGATCCATATGCTGAGATGCTAAGGAATCGCTGTCCTGTCTGCTGTCATGTTTAAAATCAGAATCAGGAATAAAAGAGCACATGCATCATTGTACTTACAGGTGTCACTACTCGGGACAAGCCTATACCTAACTTTGCAGTGAGTTCCAAACTTGCAACACACGCAGCTCCTCTAACGAGCAAATGGAGGCACAGCCTCAGCCCATGGAATGTGGGCTTACTTTTCCTGCAAATGATCTCCCATTCCATCACAGTATCCCTCCCTAAGCAATGCAAGCAATGCCTGATGTCAGATGAAACGTTGCACGGTCCCTTCAGCCCGCCCGACATGAGCTGATCACATGCCTGCAGTGCTTGGTTGGCAACGAAGAGCACATCATTTAACCTCCTCACCCCACTCAACCGCATCAACAGTCGTTCAGCCGACCATGAGCTGATCGCATGCCTGCAGTGCTTGGTTGGCAAAGAAGCGCACATCTGGGTCTGGGTCCTCGTTCAGCTCAAACAAGGCTGGCCGAATGCTCTGCTCCACAATCTGGGGGACAGGAAGACAGGGCGATAGGCATGTCAGGCCAAGAGGAAAGTGAGGAGATAAGAAGACAATGAAGCGCAGGTCGAATGCTCTGCTCCACTATGTGGGCAGGTGAAAAACAGGAAGACATGGAGGACATTGGAGGAATTAGACCAAATTCCGGTAGGAAGAAACTGAGATAGGAAGAATTTGAGGTGTAACTGAGAAAATTACGGATGTGAGGGGAGAACGAAATTTTGGTGGTAGGTGGGTGGGGATGGGGGTAGGGGAAGTTGGTGAGGATAAAGAAGGTATGGATTGACATGGCATGGCTGTCCTTGGAGCTTACCGATGGTTCGACGATGGTGATGAAGGATTGAAGCATCTTGGCCACATTGAACCGAATGTTGGGCACCCTGATGAGGAGGAGGAACGGGAGGAATGGAGGGAAAATGGAAGGAGGTATGAGGGGTGAGAGAGGTATGAGAGGAGTGAGTGAGAGATTTTGCAAGGCATGGGACAAGAACGGTGAGAGCTAGTGCGAGTGAGAGAGCTAGAGAGGAGGCATGGGACAAGAACGGTGAGAGCTAGTGCGAGTGAGAGAGCTAGAGAGGAGGCATG